TCAGCGACAGAGAAATTGCGGTAATGAATGTGAAAGCACTTCGAATAAATGATACCGCAGCATGTTTTTTTTTATTTTATATACAGTATATCCACACTGCCGGCTGGGCGCAATGCCCTCAGGTCAGAAAAACAAACAGAACAGCGCGGAAGGGCTTGGGCTTCTCTAACAGATCTCTGAGAGGCATTTTGGAAAAAAAGGAGGCCAATTCAAATGGAAATTACATCTGTTCCCCGAGGGCCAAATTCTATAGACTGCGCTTCTGTAAATGTAGAAAACAGAATTGCTGTGCACATCTGCTAAGAAGACAACAAATACACATTCTGTATTCCGACATCAGATCAGAAACCAGCTTCAAGGACTTTTTGCAGTCTTGGCCAATTAATGTTTTTTTTTTTCTCTTCATAATACTGCAATTCATTCCAAACAGAAAAACACACTTGACTCTTATATACAGATTGAACATAGTGATCTACCCACAGATGCTGTGAAGAGTTGATTGGACAGTGTTACGGATATGCAGTTCCATCAGCTCGGTGCCACCACTGCACTTGTAACTCCTACCCCAAGTTACATAATTAAATAGTTACAGTGGGGCAAAAAAGTATTTAGTCAGCACAATTGTGCAAGTTCTCCCACTTACAAAGAAGAAGATTCTTATTTTCCACCATAATTTTGCAAATAAATTCTTTCCAAATCAGCCAATGTGATTGTCTGGATTTTTTTTCTCATTTTGTCTCTCATAGTTGAGGTCTACCTATGATGCCAATTACAGGCCTCTCTCATCTTTGTAAGTGGGAGAACTTGCACAATTGGTGGCTGACTAAGTACTTTTTTGCCCCACTGTACTTAGGTTTAAAAAAAGAAAATAGACACAAGTCTTTCAAACTCAATAAATAATTATTGTAAAAAAAAAAAAAGACAGAAGTCCATCCAGTTCAACCAATTCTCTTCTTCATGTACGGCTAAAGCTTCAAGGCATGTCCCCATGCTTAAATCAGAGGAACTGTCCCAAGATCCAACTGTATGGCAAAATCTCCAGACCATTGATCAAAATCATACCTTTACATGAAAACCTCCCAAGCATTATTACATGCTCAACGACCATGGCAAAACGCTTCCGGGCATTTTCCCACACTTGTTATATCAAAATCTCCAGGGCATTGTACCACACTGATCCTTCTCAGCAAAACATTCAAGAAATGTTCCCAATTTCAACCTTCAAAGGATCAGCTAACCTTAATTGTTCTTGGCTAATGGCCAACAAAACCTCCACGGGACTCCATATGTACCTCTAATATAGGCTCTCCCATTCTGAAACATTGTCTCACTGCCAGTGCCCTCTAGTGAGGTGCCACACCTCTGTTGTTTTATTCTAGTCTCTGACCTCCTTTCCCTCACCCAGTGCAACAAATGAGAAGTTAGTATGACTTTTGAATGCTCACTTTTGTCCTCATGTCACACCACCAGGGGCGGACTGACAACTCATTGGGAGGGCCCCCGGGCAATAGGGGATCATGGGGCCACTGTGTCCTTGCCCAAACTCAAAAAATCCTATGAAAAAGGTACCAGGGGCATCTCACGGGGCCCCCTACTAACCCCCGGGCCCTCAGGCAGTGCCCGAGTTTCCAAATGGTCAGTCCGCCCATGTGTCAGACTCAACTGCATGAAACCTTCCTGCCAATCAGCAACCCAGGCAGATACCCAACAAAACAGTGTAGACACCACTTCAAATGATTGCATTCAAGTGGTTCTAGTAAAGGGTACTATTAATACTACACCAAACAAAGCCCACATTAGCCAATTGTGGGTATTCAACCTTGTAACAACAACTTTGGAGAAGGACTTTTCGCTATTCTGGTTAAACTCTGGCCCTATAAGGAAATATGTCTTATTTAACTAGCATCCATTTTGTATAACGCCTCCATTTCTAGATATGTGAACAGTTTCGGTTTTGAGTTTCACTTGTAACTTCTCTCTCGTTTTTTCTGAGAATAGATTCTATTCTCGGTAAACAGAACTACCTTATATAGTATCCCTCAGCTATTTGCAGTTTCTGTTCTTCACGTAACTATATTGATAAGAGTGGAATGTTTCATTGGTCATCCTAAGACTAAGCAACATCTATTGAGATTTGTATAATAGTTCTTGTCATGCATTAAACTTTCAGAGATTTAGCTTGCACACTTCAGTGTCTAGAGCTTTATTCCTCCCAGGCCTGGTGGGGAAAATGTTCGAGGATAGTTTGGACTACAGACAGGAATTGATCCTTTCAGGCCCTGTGCAGAAAGCCAACTCTGTGAAGACATGGTTTCACTAGTTTGGTGTTGAGGAACTGGCATGGAACTGGGAACAGAGTTCTCACCTCAATCCTACTAAACACCTTTGTATGCATTGTAATGTATTGGCAACCCAAGTCTTCCCATCCAACAGCAGCACCTGATCGCCAAAAGGGCACAGATTCCCACAGATGCTCCAAAATCTTGTGGAAAGCCTTCCAGAGGGGTGTTGTGGTTTATATAGCTAAAACAGAGTGGCAACTTCATATTACTTTCCATTGGCTTGGAATGGGATGTAAATCAGGTTTGTATAGGTGTAATGGGCAAATGTCCATAAACATTGGCTGTATAATGGCTTATTCATAGCGGAGAGCAGATATTATTGCAACTTCATTCTCACCGGCCTACCCAAACAAACGCTATCCCCACTCTAGTCGATCCTGAACTCAGCGGCGAGACTCATCCACCTCACCAACCGCTCCACATCCACCACCCCCCCTCTGCCAATCCCTTCACTGGCTCCCGATTGCTCAGTGCATCAAATTCAAACTGCTAACTCTGACCTACAAAGCCATTCACAACGCCGCCCCAAACTACCTAAACCGACCTGATACCCAAATACTACCCTACCCGTGCCCTTCGCTCCTCACAGGACCTCCTACTCTCTAGGTCCCTGGTCTCCTCCACCCACGCCCGACTGCAGGACTTCTCCAGGACTTCTCCCATCCTCTGGAACTCCCTACCCCAATCCAGACTGTCACCTACCCTCCTCACCTTCAGGCACACCCCTGAAAACCAACCTCTTCAGGGAAGCCTACCCCACCCTCACCTAACAACTGACCTCCTCCACTCCTCCTACCACTCCAACCCCCACAGCCATCTCCTCCTGTACCACTATCCCCTCCCTCCTAGATTGTAAGCTCGAAAGAGCAGCGCCCCCGAACCCCTCGTGTATTGTTTCTGTCTTGTCTCATGTTCTGTCCCCCTTGCTATTGTACAGCGCTGAGCAAACCCTTTGGCGCTCTATAATGTATAATAATAATTATTGGTTCTTCATGTTTCACTGCTGCATTACGCACACTGTGGCTCAACTCATTCATAAAAACTGGGCTGTGGTATGTAGCCTTACGAAGTTCTTTCTGTTTAGTGATCTTTAAAGAAGAGTAGGGTATGTGACTTTGACAGGCCTCATGACCAGGCTCTCCTCCTGGCTGTTCTTCCTCTTTGTTGGTTTCCAAGTCCCGAAGCTGGTGGAGCTCAGAGCACATTAGTAAGGCCGTCGCTGTGCTTAATATATGCGTGTGGTGCAGTCATACCACTGCATTATAAATGAGCCTCTTAGTGTACCTACATGACCGGAACGCACACCGGCTGATTATGTATGCTGATGAAGATAATCCGTCACCCCTTTGTGCAGGTACAAAAATGATCTCAAAGAGGTGACCCCGGCCTTCTCATTGATTATGCGCTTTAAAAAAATCTATCTGTCCCAAGAAAATTAAATCATAGCATGCCTAATCCATTGTCAAGCAAATCAGTAAACACAAAGCCTAATCTTTGTACTAAATGTCAGTAATTAGGGGCAAACAAGTTCTTCCTCGTTGGTTCAGGAGTTGCTGAACATCTTACGCCGTGGCTGCGTTCTGCCTCTAATTAGATGTAAAAATGAAAGGCCAGGAAGGAGGGAAGTAAATACGGGCAGGAAATGGATGGCATTGAAGGTTTCCTCATTACCGAATTCTTCCCCGTACACAGTAGAAATAGTACACTGATAATAAAGGACAGTTGGGGCTCCCAGATAAGCCCTTTGAAGTGGTATTTATGTGGCTGAAATGTGATGTGCCTCGTTTTAATTAGATTTTATAAATAATGAAACAATATTTGCAGTTGCAGGTTGTAGGAAAGGTGAGATGGCTTTTATTTGTGCTAAGGTCTTTTTTTTTGTTTTTTTTTTTTGTCATGCAAACAAAAATTTTATGTGATTTGTTCTGTTCTGTTTTTGCAGCATAAAAAAGTATTAAAGCAGAACTAAAGGCACACGTTCTCACCGATGCCCCAGTGTTGCAAAGCCTGTCAAGTCACCTGTCCCTGCTGGCATCTTCTCCATTGTTTCTTCCAGGTGTTGGTCTTTGGCTGTTTTGATTGGTTATTGCGGGATGACGTCACACCCGTGCAGTGCCAGGACGAGTTCATCCAGTGCTTTACCGTAAGACTTTTTATTAAGTAAAACCAAATTCCAATGTACTCACAAAAGTATGCGCTCAAGTGCATGTGTCATGTCCAGTCCCATCTACAGGAGAACAACTTACGCGTTTCAAGGCCAAAGCCCTCTTCTTCAGAGCTACTTGCTCTGATATAGTTTGCAGTGTGGAGCTTTCCAGTGGCAATTACCCAACTGACAAGATCGAAGAGGAGCCTGCCCTGAGCCCACATGTGGACTTGCAGTCTAGAGGGCCTTTCCTACCCAGGGGCGGACTGACAACTCATGGGGCCCCCGGACAATAGGGGATCATGGGGCCCCTGTGTCCTTGCCCAAACTCAAAAAAGCCTATGAAAAAGGTACCAGGGAAATCTCATGGGGCCCCCTACTGACCCTGGGCCCTCGGGCAGTGCCCGAGTTTCCAAATGGTCAGTCCGCCCCTGTTCCTACCTATAACACTCACAAGAGGGGTTTGAGTTTATCCAGCATCCAGGATGAGGAGGCAGAACTGCATGGACCCACCCAGGGGCGGACTGACAACTCATGGGCCCCCCCGGGCAATAGGGGTTCATGGGGCCTCTGTGTCCTTGCCCAAACTCAAAAAAGCCTATGAAAAAGGTACCAGGGGAATCTCATGGGGCCCCCTACTGACCCTGGGCCCTCGGGCAGTGCCCGAGTTTCCAAATGGTCAGTCCGCCCCTGTTCCTACCTATAGCACTCACAAGAGGGGTTTGAGTTTATCCAGCACCCAGGATGAGGAGGCAGAACTGCATGGACCCACCCAGGGGCGGACCGACAACTCATGGGGCCCCCCGGGCAATAGGGGATCATGGGTCCTTGCCTGTGTCCTTGCCTACACTCAAAAAGCCTATAAAAAGGTACCAGGGGCATTTCACGGGGCCTCCTACTGACCCCGGGCCCTCTGGCAGTCCTCAAGTTCTTGAATAGTCAGTCCGCCCCCTGGACCCACCCCCATTGTGTGATGTGCATACCACTGTGTGTCTGTTTTCCACTCCCTTGCTCCAGCTGCCTGTGGTTATGACGTCTGCACTGCACATGCATAGCCAATTGCTTGCTTTCCAACAGCTGGGAGGTGGTTGTGAATGCTTGGATTTTTTTTTTTTTCTGAGGGCTGAGGCAGATCTGGAGCATGCATGCATGAGAAAATGTAACATATTGCAGCTAACTAATCCTTGCATATGGTACCTGCATTAGTTTTCTTTTTTTTTAGGCTAAGTACACTTTCTTTTGATTCTGCTGTATATTTCACTGAACTAAACAAATATCAACTTTCCCAAATATCTTCTGTGAACTACAAATAACTCCCCCCCTTTCATTTCTTTCTATGCTATGTAGACATTGAAAGTGTCATCTCATACTTATCTGTATGATAAATGCAAATAACACCAGTTGATCCTGCCAGAATCCTTGTGAGCTGACAACTTCCTGTGCTCTCTCCCGCTACTGACTTTTTTCTTAGCTTTCTGTGAACTACAGAGCACCTCCCACTTTGTTGAGATGAGGACATATGAAGGTGTTTTGTAGTCCTGTAGTCCTCCTTTCACCAACGGTAACCTATGCTCAGATTTTTTCTTTTGTGACAGGTTCACTTTAAAGACCCAAAACAAAAACTTAATATATTTCAGCTGACAAGTTCATAGATGTGGTATTTTTTCTACTTTTTTTATCTGGTGATCCTGCCAGTAACACACTTCCTGTCCTAGGGTGACAACACTCACTGTACTGTATGGAGGAGCAGCATTGTCAACCTAGGACAGGAAATGTGTTACTGGCAGGATCACCAGATAAAAAAAAAGTAGAAAAAAATACCACATCTATGAACTTGTCAGCTGAAATATATTAAGTTTTTGTTTTGGGTCTTTAAAGTGAACCTGTCACAAAAAAAATAAAAAATCTGAGCATAGGTTACCTTTGGTGAAAACTGCAAGATGTGAGCAAATCCCATAACTGCACCCCCATCGCAGGAGCATCGCTACATTCGTAAAAAAAATAAAATAATAGGTATATGTGTGTGTGTGTGTGTGTGTATATATATATATATATATATATATCAGGGGCGGACTGACCATTCAAGCACTCGGGCACTTCCCGAAGGCCCGGGGTCAGTAGGGGGCCCCATGAGATGCCCCTAGTACCTTTCATTGGCTTTTTCATAGGCTTTTTGGGTGTGGGCGAGGACACAGGGGCCCGATGATCCCTTTTTGCCCGGGGGCCCCATGAGTTGTCAGTCCGCCCCTGATACCTATTATGTATTTATATTATATATATTTATAATTATATCTTTTTCCTGGTTTCCTCAGTCCAGTGATATCACAGGTCCTCTTTAACTTTTTCTTCCTCCAGGGGTGGGCAGCTCTCTAGTAAGTTCATGGCAGGGGGTAGGTCCTTGACACCCTGGGTTCACAGGATTCTGTGTCATTCCACAAGGTTCTCGATTGGTGAGCGGGTTTGTCTGTGGTGGACAAAGACAGGCTGAGTATAGTAGCCAAAACTACGACCAGACAGTGCATTTTTTTTTTTTTTTGTTCTTTGTCTAAGCTTGATTTGGGCTTTGAAGTTATATACTTACCTTTCCTGTAAGGGCTCTTTCAGATGGGCGGTGATCAGGGGCGGACTGACCATTTGGAAACTCGGGCACTGCCCGAGGGCCCGGGGTCAGTAGGGGGCCCCATGAGATGCCCCTGGTACCTTTTTCATAGGCTTTTTTGAGTTTGGGCAAGGATACAGGGGCCCCATGATCCCCTATTGCCCGGGGGCCCCATGAGTTGTCAGTCCACCCCTGGCGGTGATGCTTACTGCCCATTTATTTTAAATGTCACATGACAATTTTACATTGCAAAATGGTATCTCAACTGCAAGCCAAGCTTTGGCTCCCAGTGGCAGTGCAGCCCCATGGATCACAATGGAGGTGCGGTCTGTCACATTCTGAATCCCGTGTTGACATTGTTATAACTGTGAAGCCAACCATCACAGGAGTGGTACTTGTAAAACACTGTCAGTCTGTAATGTTAGAATGTGGTGAGGGGCGGTAAAATTGCAGCTCAGCCACATGTTTTTAGCACCCCCAGCCTCCAGTGCAAAAGAGCCAGAAAAAAAGGTTTGACTCAACCCTCTCTGCCTGAACCTTCTTGTTCTATTAAAAGAGCAATAGAGAGGCTTGTAAGTTGGGGAAGGGTAAGGAAAATCTTGACATAGAAAAGCTTATGCAGGCCATACATGGGTCAAATTCCGAACAAATTTTCTTTAGAAAAATCGGAAATTTAGTTTTTTTTTAATCCGATGGTGCCACCGTTTGATTTCGAAATTCAACCAACCAAGCTTTTAATTTCATCTAATGTTGCTACAGAAAATAATTTTCATGGCCAAGAATTTTCTTTTCTTTCCAGGTCACGGCTCACCCATCGTTGATTAGAAATTCGTTTGTTTTTTTGACAAATTTCCAGCATGCCCAATCACTCAAATTCGATGGTCAATCAAAAAATCTCTCAGTGCCGTGGCCCACTTATGGTGTGAAATTCGAACGAAAATTCTTGGAAAAGGTTTTGGAAAGAAAATTCGGAATTCGACCCGCGTATGGCCGGCTTTAGGAGTCGGATATAACTTCAGCTGCTCATGCGGTATCTCCGGCTCTGTCAATCTTTCTTAATTCTGGTTCCAGAACATCATTATTGTGAACTGCTGCTCCAAATTTTACTGCAGCTGTCAGAAAGTGCGGCAGAGAATACTCTCATCGCTAATGGCCGCCATTACTCCAGATCGCCCGCAGTGTCCTTGGCAGCCAGCAATAAGCTGTAGACACACAAGGCCAAAATAGTTATTTGTTTGTGGAGTTCAGTGATCCTAAACTGTCATTCCATGACCTTGCTGGCGTTATCACGGGAGATCCAAGAAATAACATGGATATGGGCCGCCCACCGATCTGGACCTCCTAAATATGCTGTAATTATCCAATTTGCAGGCTCATTCCATTTTATAGCGGTCCTGTCCTTTACAGTCACAGGGTGATAAAGGGAGGTTGGACGGCATTGGACGGGGAGGTGCAGCACTCTGTGCCAGGAAGGTGCTCTATGCTGAAATAATTAGGAATATTATTTGATCTCCTTCCTTTAGATTCATGGCACCTGACGATATTTTCTAATAGGATTTCTCCGACTGCACACCGAGCAATGCTTGCTGCCTCCTTGTCTGTTATAGGGACTGTAAATACATAGAGGCTCATACATTCCGCCAGTCATCATCTATGCAATGATCTGTCCGTCTTTTCATAGCTCAGTCCATAATAAAGAACAGATATATACGCGGATTATTCAGCGTCCGTCCTTGGGGACTACTGAAAGCCGCACAGCACAAGCTGTTCCTCACCTCTGGCATCAATAAAATCCCCGCGACGAAGCGTCACTTATAAAATGAAGCTGCAGATAGAAACAGCAATAAATCCTGACAGAGGCTCTAACCCTTGTCTGTTCTATTCAAGAAATATTAGATTCAATCTCCGCGATCTGGACTGCTGTTAGAAACCATGGGGCCCCATACAGCCAACCTGACAGGGCCCCCCAAGTCACGGGGCCCCATACAGCCAACCTGACAGGGCCCCTCAAACCACAGGGCCCCATACAGCCAACATGACAGGGACCCCCAAACCACAGAGCCCCATACAGCCAACCTGACAGGGCCCCCCAAACCACAGGGCCCCATACAACCAACCTGGCAGGGACCCCAAACCATGAGGCCCAATACAGCCAACCTGACAAGCCCCCCAAACTACGGGGCCCCATACAGCTAACCTGACAGGGCCCCCCAAACCACAGGGCCCCATACAGCCAACCTGACAGGGCCCCCCAAGCCATGGGGCCCCATACAGCCAACTTGACAGGGCCCCCCAAATCACAGGGGCCCATACAGCCAACCTGACAGGGCCCCCCAAGCCATAGGGCCCCATACAGCCAACCTGAAAAGGCCCCTCAAGCCACAGGGTCCCATACAGTCAACCTGACAGGGACCCCAAACCACGGGACCCCATTCAGCCAACCTGACAAGCCCCCCAAACCACAGGGCCCCATACATACAGACAACCTCACTAGCCCCTCAAACCACAGGGCCCCATACAGCCAACCTGACAGGGCCCCCAAACCATGGGGCCGCATACAGCCAACCTAACAAGCCCCCCAAACCATGGGGCCCTATACAGCCAACCTGACAGGGCCCCCCAAACCATAGGGCCCCATGCAGCCAACCTGACAGGGCCCCCCAAACCACAGGGGCCCATACAACTAACCTGACTAGCCCCCCCCCCTCCTACAAAAAAACACTGTTTATAATGCTTCAATTATGAATGAACACAATGATTTATTGGTACCAATCACTCATTGTGTTCATTCAGGAAAGGAAGGGGCTGGTAAATGTGACATATTTACCAGACCCTTCCCCAACTCTCCATCCTGAAGGATCCTATTGTATGCAGCCGATGGGAATGAGAGGAGGGAAGCCGTCAACATTACAGGGGTGGGGGCACCAGGGGGAAATGTATGTTGTACAGGGAGAGTGATGGGTGCACCAGGGTGGGGAAACTACTGGAACCGATCCCCTGTATGGCTCTCTCTGCAGCAGCTGAAAGGTGGCTTCTTCCCCCCCCCCCGCTTTCAGCTCCTGCAGTGAGAGCCATACAGGGGATCGGTTCCAGTAGTTGCCCCCCCCCCCACCCGCTGTGGCGATCACTCTC